CTTGAAGTTCAAATCGACACACAATAAGATGCTGCACAAGAAAAGAAGGCTCACCTTGAAGGCGATGAAACTGAATTTGATTTTCAAATGACTTGGCTCAAACCTACGCCCAGTTTTCACGCCAATTGACAACAATGCCATCAATTCGATGAAGGACCACACTTGGTAAGCATTGGAGTCACGAATAAAATATTCTTGGTGAAATGTATGTCTTCTCATTATGAGGGGAATGGGCTGTCCAGGTGAGGGAGACATATGAATAAAACACAGTCTAGTCAGAGGGCCGCCAAGCATGGGGTCCAGATGTCAGGGTAGTTCAAGGTCCCTTCTTTTTAGGGGACATGCTGGGTGCTTGGGCCCCCACAGTTTGTTCCCCAGCACTTTGTAAAGTGCAGATCTGGTATGGGTGGAGTCTGGGTCACATGGCGCATGTCTTCCAGTCTCCAGGATGCTGTGTATTGCCCAAAACACATCCCCGTGGCTCTGATTCAAACGTTTTTGAGTGCAGCTGATGTTTTAGAACTGGGAATCCTGCTGGAATTCAGTGCTTTCTAAGAGGAGGAGGAAGAAACCTGTCTTTTCCCACATGTGTCTAATGAAACACGCATCAGAGCCGGCTTCTATTTTGAGCCAGAACACTGTTCGGCGCGAGGCATTGGAATGGTAGCTTTCCTCACCACTTGCAAACTTCCTTTTATCCGTCAATGGTCAGATAGACTCTGGTTGGGAGTCTGCATTTTACGTTCTAGGAGGAAAACACTGAGATAAACTACGTAGGTGCCTTTAATGTTCAAGTAGATGGTATTTAATTTAGGACCGCCGGCACATCTGTCTCTCCTGACAGACCGTGACCTTGGAAGACAGGACACCGTCTCATTTGTAAGCCAACTAGGGCACGTCTGTCCCAACGGTTGCCACTCAATAGGTGTTGGTCACATGGGCGTCTTTTGAATGAATGTTCTTTGGGGATGAAAACCATTTCATCAATGTCTGAGTCTCCGGGTCCAACTCATTGGGAAAGGAGGCCATGAAGCAGGGAGATAATACACAGGTGGTCATTTCAGAGGTGCGCTCAGTATATGAGCCTCCTCCTGGACACTGCAGAGGGACCAGAATTGCCCAGTGGACAACTGTAGGCTTTTCAAATGCCTGTTCTTCCCTCTGTCTTCACTTGGTGCCACATCTTCTGACTTTCTGGCATTTTTTTAAAAGAAGCTAACACTTTCTCTTAAGGATTTCCTTAAAAAATATATAATTGCTTTAGTAACAAAACACCTTTTATTCTTGCCCAAATAATCCATTTCCCACAGGAAGAGTCTTCCCTTCTCTTAGCCAACACATTCAATAAGGCACTTTTTCTCCGCTGTCTCTTAACACAAGGGTGCCGGCCAGCTTTGCCTCTTACCTGGCCACATTTATTGATGCAAACAGTGGCAGATTTCATCAAAGCTTTGTCCATACCTCCTGGTGACCGATTTGTCATCTCGCGTTCTTCGGGGCTCCTCTGGTCATTTCCAAAAGTGGGCAAAGAAAGGAGTTTTCTTTTTCTTGAAAGGACAACTCTCCATCGGCAGACCAGAGCACACGCCTTTGGGGATGTTTAAACCAGGAAGTTTAAATCTGTCCTAAATTGTTTGAGTCTCTTTCTGCAGCCCAAGGAAACTGGCTGGAATATGTCTAAGTTTTGACAAGCGTTCACGCATGATGCTGGCATTGAGCAATAGTTAGAATTTTAGCTATTGGAAGGAAGCGGCCCTGATATTCCTTCCGAGTCCAGCACTCTTCACGTGTTACATCACTTAGCACTCACCTCTGTGGGCTCCTGGATTTATTATTAATGATCACGCCGGCAGGAAGCTGTAATGGCCCCAGATTTTACAGAGGAGGAAACTCAAGCCGTCGTGTTTTCCAAGCTAGAGAAAAGCCATCTTTCTTCCCACTCCTTCGAGCAAAACTCCTGCCCTCCACTCCTAGGAGCCCCAGGGAACTGTGGGTGATAGACACCTGTGCGCCAATGTCAAGTGCAACAGGCTGATAGCTCCATATAAGTGGTACTTGAACTGAGACGGGCCAGATGGGTAAGTCCACATCTCACCAAATAAACCCACCAGAGAGTTTCCCAAAAGGACCCAAACACTGATCTGCCTGAGACTCAAAGAAAAACACTGGGCTGGCGTGGGGGATGGGAGCGCAGAGTGGAGGCACTGACTGTACACTCTGTTCACCTGGTAGGTAGTGAAGTGTGTATTGGCATTGAACTTCCACCTGTGGCCTTGGCTTGCAATTTAAATATTGAGAGGCTAGAAGCTCCTTTTCTTTATTTTCAGATCATCTTTATTATAATGATCATAGCGACAATGATAACAACCATTCACCACTTTAAATGCACTGATATTTTATATGAATGAATTCCTTTATTTCTCCCCCGGACCTTATTACTGGATGATATTATTAGATCTCCTACTGGGTGGGAAAACTGAGGCTCAGGAATGTCAAATGACTCCTTAGAGAGAGCAAACAGCGGAGTGGACAGGTAAACAAAGGCCCACAACTGTCCTATACTGAGCCTGTGCCCTGTACCATTATCCTGCATCGTATATTCTATGTAGGGTTCCCCAAATGAACTCATCCCCACCCATGGCTGCAGCTCTGCCCAAAGCATACTGATGAAGTGACACCCGTGTCATCGCTCAGGGACAAACATATTATTCATACACATGAGTACAAGTGTCAGTTGTGCCCAAAGCTGAACTTGCAACCTGCTCCCCAACCCTCCTTCATTATTTTGTCTCCTGCTAAATGGCATCTTCCACCTAATGGCTCAAGCGTGAAGCCCAGAAATGATTCCAGTCTCATCCTCCCACTCAGTCGGAGAGATCCCTGACTGCACTGTTGAGTCTTTCTCTTTATTTTTTTCATACATCTGTCTCTCTCTTTCCTTCTTTTTTTTTTTTTAAGATTCAGTTTATTTATTTTTTAGGCAGAGGGGAAGGGAACAAGAAAGAGGAGAGAAACATCAATGTGTGGTCTCCTCTTGAGCACCCCCTACTGGGGACCTGGCCCACAACCCAGACATGTGCTGTGACTGGGAATTGAACTGGCGACCCTCTGCTTCACAGTCTGGCACTCAGTTCACTGAGCCACACCAGCCAGGGCTCTCCCCCTCCTTCTCATTGCCCACACCTTAAGCCACAGCTTCTCCTTAGTCACTGTCATTACCTTCTACAGCCCTCCTCCCTCCAGCCTGGGTATATCAAACTCCATTGTCTGCTCTGGAACCTGAGTGATTTGACTAAAGGTGGTTCTGACTACAGTCTTCAATGATGAGATCTAACCACTGGCTTCCAGTGTCAAGGCCATTCATGATCTAGGTCTTCTTCACTGGAGTGATCGCCTTCCCGCTTTCCTCCCATGCTGGATGACACCCAGGCATAGCCAGCACCCACACAGGTACTCGGCCCACAGCTGATGATCATTAAATGCTTGCTGAATCAGTGAGTATGTGCTGAGCCAAAAACTTCTATCGAGAATGGTTAAAAATTAATCTTTAAGGTCTATAATGCAAATCAATGAGCTAACTTTGGTTTTTTGGGCCACAGGGAAAATAATTACCAGCCTATCATTGTTTGCATGTCATCCCAAAATTGTTTGCAAGTCAGCAATTACAATATTTACTGCAAATCTTCATACCATGCCTCATGGGTCCCTGAGCTTGTCCCCTCTAACGCAAAGGGGTGATCACTTCTGGGACACGACGTTAAATTCATTTGACGACACATCCCTGACTTTAAAGTGAATCGTCTTTCTTTTGATTTAAGCGAAAGCCAGGTCATTTCTGTTGTGGTGGTTTGTTTGAAGCAGTTGCACGCTGTCCCTGCTCTGCAGATAGAAAGTCAAGGTTGCTGGTTCCCAGGCAGGGTTTGGCAGTGAGCATGGAGAATGGCTTTGGCAGACTTAGTTTAATTGACTTGAACTTGAGCACTGGCCTCCCTCACAGAGAAATTCCCAGCCCTATTCTTAATGGGCCTCAGAGATCTCATAGTAAAAGGATTTGCTGATGAGAAACATCTGTCTGAGGACCTAGTGAAGAGTCCACCGAAAGTTCTATTTCCCAGGCTGTATGTATCCTCATATGGAATTCCCCCTACTAATCTTCATCATGGGGAAACCCCTCAAAACTTGCCCACCAGTTATCAGCTCGAACTTTCCCCAAACCTCCTCTCCCTAGCAGGGCCGATGACTCTGAATTCTTGTTGGAAAGAACAGAGAAGCTATGAGAATAATTGAATTAATCCTAACACCATCACTGCCCTACGACCCAAAGGTTTGGGAAGCTTTGGATGTTTTTAGAAGTGAATAGAAAATGCTTTATTCTTTACAAGAAGAAGCATTATTCTTTACAAAGTGGTTTAAATGCATATAAACTATACTTCAAGAAACATGAATGCACATGTTTGATAACATTAGAATTTTTCTGATTGGTATAGACAAGGGATTTTTGAATGAGAGAAACTCAGCTCACTATTCTCCCAGAAGCATATCCAGTCCAAGGCAAGACCGTACATAGTGGCGTTCAAGACCACCGACAAGGCCGACCAGTGTAAAGCCGGGCAGTGAAGGGCAGAAAGAGACACCAAAAAATCCCCGATGAAGGTTTGATTCAAACGTCCAATTGACATTTGGGACCCACGTTTCCGCACTTGAACGCAGGATGTCGATTTCACAAGGAATGAAGAATGAGGAAGTATTCATGGAGAAAGGAACATTATGCAGTTGACGGGGGGGGGGGTGGCGTTCTATTTCTGATGCCTGCTGAAGAGGCCCCCGTTATGCTCCATCGGCAGAAGCAGGAGGCGCTTCACTGGGGTGGCATTTCCCCCACCCCTGGTAGGAAAGATCTCATTTGAATGTGCGCTGAGACATGTGGTGTTTATGGGGAAAGTTGTGCGTGGGTGGGTGTGCACTGAACTACTCAGGAGGGATGGGAAGTATGATTCAGACTTCACAAGGCTCTCCTCTTTTGGCATACCAGGAAACCGAAACAGTCAACGGGCTGAATCTACTCCGCAGATAAGCCCAGAAAAGCAACAAGGTCTTCGCACGTCGCAAAAGGAAGGTAAACCGTTGCCATAAATTATTTAAGAAATGCTTTTCCATCTCCCGAGCAGATGATCTAGTTCCTGTTCAAAACGGACAGTCTCCTTTTAATAACCGAACGAAGCCTATCATGATCACAGACAAGTGAAAAGTAATCTGGAAGTTTGCCACTGGGTAGCTCTTCTGTCTTGAAGGTCAAGGACAGTGGTGCCGTTTTTGATAAGTCATACCATACAGGTACTGCACACTAGCCAATGAACAACATTCCAAAAGCTAGATCTTATCATTGAAACTTGATTAGCCATAAGTACACGCATGTATGAAAATAGACATTTTCAGAACTATATCCTAACCGTTTCTATAAACGCAGTTCTGGTTGTGATGAAACTTGGAAAAATGAGAGATGCTACTTACTAATGAATCAGAGTCCAAACTCAGAGCCTTCTCTGGAGGCCGATTTAATGACTTTCCCGGGCCTCTGAATGCTGACCTGCTGCACTTAGATGGGCGAGTTGACAAGACAAAGGGAAGAAGGGAGACAGAACCTAGCCCTGGTTTTGCTGGTTGGCATGGTGAGAATTGCTCCCACGCCTTGAGTTTAGAATAGAAATCCCCAGGGTAAAATGTAGGCACGCAAAAACTCGGAACCCCTTGATGAGGGTTGCTTCAAGCGTTCTGGCACCTACTAGTACTTTCTTTCCCAGTCCAAGGATCTGGATAATTATCTTAGTTCATGGTGGGTGGTATCTCATTGCCAAATTAGTCTCTTAGGAGTAGAACTCCATCAGACTTTTGCAGTTCGTGGTCTGAAATTTCTGGCCTAATTGATTTTGATTTGTAATACTTCTTTGTTTTATATAGAAACCGTTGTTCTTGTCACTGAGGGACCACTGTAAGCCTTGAATGTTCTCCCACGGAAACCGACATCTTGCTTTCCCGAGAGGTCGCTTCTCCAGTAGAGGGGGCAAGTCTGTTTTACTGGCTTCTGTGGGTCCTCTAAGATCTGGTGGGGACTCAGAAAGGGTTCGTGGAACTGAATCCTGTAGGGTGGGGCTTCCACGTGGCAAGCTGTCTGCTCTGATGAAAGAAAAAGTGGAAATGATGACCTGGCCACCTTGTTCAAGTTCTGCCTTCACTGCTTGTCAGCATTGCAATCATGAGCGAATCATGGCACCAACCTATCCAAGCTTCCCCCCTTTTCACCTGTAAAATGAGCAGCTCCTGATACTGAAGATACTCACAGAGTTACAATGTTCAAGAGAGAGTATCCACATGTAAAAACAAGTGTCCCTTATAAACATACAGTACGATAGAAATCTGAAGTCAAGTTAGGATGATATTATATAGTGGGAGAGTAGTGACTCTCAGTTTTCCACCTGATTCCCCGATTAGGGCTGCCATTGCTTCAGAGACCCTGCCCGAAGATGCTGGCTTTGGGATTGCAAGTTTCCTGTGGGGCATGAAGATTCTAAGCCCAAGAAGATTACCGATCACTATCATTCAGACCAGTGTTGGCGGCCATTGTCTCTTCAGGAATTCAGGAATTGATTTAGGGAGAGAGAGAGTCCATTTAGGCCAGGTCTTGAAGGACAAGTAAGATTTCTCCAGGAGGGGCAGGAAGGGGAAGTGGTCTTGGAAGACACAGGAACAAAGGTCCAGAGGTCGACAATGACGGGGCTCATCCGTAATTTTCTAAACAACTGGACTCAGAGGATAGATGTAGTCAAGTGATTCGGTCTCAGATTTAACTGAGTTTTATTGACAATCTCTCCTTAGTAAGCACCGGCCTGGGGATTTCACGTATATCACCTCATTTAACCCCCCAACAAGATGGTATGATAGTTGTCAATACGCCTTTTAAAAAAAAGATTTTATTTACTTATTTTTAGAGAGAGAAGGAGAAACATGAACATGGGAGAGAAACATGAATCGGTTGCCTTTCATACACTCCCCGACTGGGGATTGAACACGCAACTGAGAAATGTGCTCTGACCGGGAGTCGAACCGGTGATCTTTGGCCTTGTGGGATGCTGCCCAACCAACTGAGCCACACCAGTCATGACCATGATTATGCCTCTTTTACAGATGATGTGTGGGTACACATGCAGCTGACCACAGGACCACACAGATCAAGCAGAAGACTGCAGTACATTGTTTGAAACAAAATACACATCTGAGTCCACATTGAGCCTAATTCTCAAGTTTTGCTTCATGGAAATGGATGTTCAGAGAGAGCTAGGGACTTACCCAGTGGACACAGAGTGGCTCTCCAATACACTGGGATTCAAATGTGGGTTTTCTGAATCCGAGTCTGGTGACTTTTCTACTGCGTGGTCTTCCTGTTAGAGAAATTGGAAGAGAAACCTGGAATGATAAGTATGGCGAAATTACAAATACTCTTCAAGATGAGGATTTAGACGGTATTCAGAGACTAGCTGAGACCTTAGAGCGGGATGGCGGAAGCCTGAGCTTAGCGGGTGGGGTCAGTGAGAATTTCCGGCACGTGGTTAAGACAGTGATTGGGAAGGAGCAAGGCAGTGTCAGAATGACCCCAAACAGTAATGGGATGTGGAAAATGGCTACGGGCAGAGCCAAGGAGAGAAATCAATGAAAGATGATAGATTCCTGGACTACTGGGCCCTTTCTTCAACTACCCTCCCTATCCTACTGAACAAAATGATGCAGAGGGTAGTGAAAACCATGTGAATGGTTCGAGAGAAGAAAATGAAAATCCCATGACGGAACCCCGAGATGCCTATTCAACACAATTCATCTATGAAGAGCCCACTTCGGGGCTGGAGACCACTGTGGATTCTGAACTCTATCAGCCATGAAGATGGGGAGGGGCTCCGATTTTCAATACCAAAAAGTATATGATCAGTCCCAGTGAGGCAAACATCTGAGTTTGGTAAGTGAGCGGGGGCTTGTGTGAAGAATTGAGCCAGATGAGTTTGAATGAGACACTATTTTTGTGATCCGATGGATCTGTCTGTCACGGTGCGTTTTTTTTTGTTGTTGTTTTTCTTTTTGGAATTGCTTATCTGCCAATACTCTGATTATGCAGTTGCCCTTATAACCAAAAATAGATTTTTTTTTTCCTGCAAAGAACTTCACAAATGCTGCTTTGAATTTGACACTGGTGATTCTGATGGAGGGACACGCACCAAGTGTTCACAGTGTGTCTGATTTGCCTAATTTAAGCATTATGAATCTCAGTGATAAGAGGAGAAACTGGCAAACTTTAGCAAATTGTTGTTCATTTTGAAACAAATTACTGAATGTAGAGGTAAGTTGAGAATATGAAGTGGCCAACCCTTTCTGTTAATTCCTAACAGTGTCCATTCAAACCCAATCTTAGGTCAAAATTGATAAAAATTGAAATGACCAGGGTAGCTTTTAGCTCAATTTGCAAAAACACAATCTCAGTGTTTATCAAACCCCTTAAAGCATGTTGGAAAGGAGACGGCTGCTTTCTTACCTAATGGGACCCTTTGTTATGAATGGTTCACATGGGCAGAGTGAAGGCGGTGTCCCATAAAACGCAAGTGTACCTGGTCTATTGCCTTCTTTGCAACTACTCGGAGCTGGATCGTGTTCTATGGGTCACAGGTGTCTCCTATTCCTTTCAATACCACAAAATCCAGAAACATAAAAAAATATTATGATGTAGGGCATTATAATCAGGGTTAAATACTCTGCAGATCACCACAGACACTTGCTGAATTGCTAACAAAGATTATGCTAACTTTATTTTTTCTTGAGTGGATATTACTTGGTGTTCTATTTCTAATATGAACCATTAATCCAAATATCCAAATATTTGTGCTCTTTATTTCTTTCCTCCTTCCCTTTTTTTCCCTCCTTCCTTCCCTCCCTTTCTCCCTTCCTTCCTTTTTTTTTTTCAGGACACTGCATTTTCTGCTCAGTGAAACCCTTTGACCTAAACAAACTGTAATCAAAGTCATAGTCCTGCCATCCAGTATCACAGACGTAAAAGAGATCGAAACTGGCGTGTGATACTATTGCTTTCTTCATTTCATAACCGCAAGGCAATGCACTGATCACAGAGCGCATCTGTGTGCACAGGAGCCTCCTGTCCAGGTGGCAGGCCCAGTGGGTCCCAGATCCCCCACTTTCCAGGTGGGTGACCATTTTCCATCAGCCCATCTTTCCTACTCTGTGCTTTGATGGGCTCAGAGTTTCAGACAACACTTAAAGTTACAGTCATATTTTTTCACCAGAGTTAAGTCAGATAAACTTGAAAATTCAACTTAATGTCTATCTAGGGTCTTACTCCAATTTAGGGAAAAAGGGGCTTTTTTTTTTGGAGTGCTAATAATCTGTACAAGCCTTGCACTAAGAATCACATTTATATTTTTTCCTACAAGGAGTAGTGCAAATATATTAGATGGTCCCCAAATCATTTTTATCAGAGTAGAAAACACAATTTTGGGTGTGATTTGAATATGATACATTTGGGAGAATGATCTCTCTGTGACCACTTAGTTCCTATCTTTTATGTTTTATGTTTTTATTTTTTTTTGCCTGGAATCCTGCACAAGGGTGGGTCATTTTCTTGCTGCAATGCTTCATTTCACATTTTTCCCTTTCTTTAAAGCTTGTCTGTTGCTATTTGCTATTGCTCAACCCTCTGGTCAGCAACGATTCCCGAGGGTGGACCAGAGTTTCCGAAAGTTCTGAAGGAGAAAATTTCATCAGCAAAGTAATCATTTCTGCTGGGATGGAAAAAAAAAGGAGGCCAGTGTGAATGACAAAACAGCTGTGGACCACCAAAAAAGTCAACTGGAATTGGACGGGGATAGACCGGGAAAAGAAAGAAAGGGAAAATTGTTCCGAAGGCATAGATTTAAAGGGAAAATGAATCAGAAAAGATTTCTGAAGTGTTAGAATGCACTGCCTAATAACTTTAAATAGTCCATTGAGTCTTCCGGAATTTTTTTTTTGTTCTTCTTCAAGAATAATCTGCTTACATCGTTAAGACCCGAGCTAAGCTCAGTAACACAAATTACCAGATGTTGTAACCCCTAGTTTCTCCATCAAAAGACCAACCACCAAGCTTGTTGAAAGAGAGAGGTCATTGTCCCTCCCTAGCTATAAAACTATTTTTGCAACTCCTAACAAATGAAACGAGAATACCTTTCAGCTGTCCGAGGAACCTGCGGCCCACCCCTTCCAAGTGTCCCTGGTTTGCTTTGTGATTTTCTAATAACGCACTCATGTGTAAGCTAATAACATGAACAGAGGGAAAATGAAGAGACTGAAGGAAAAAAGAGGGAAAAAGCAGAATGAATTAGGGCAATTGAGGTCGCTCTGTTTCATTTTTGCTGGGAGGATTTGAGCCTTCGTTTATACCTTATCGCTTATTCCACAATTTACGATAAAATGAGATGTGACTCCATAGTTATTGTCCTGCTCTCGCCCATTGGACATGCATACATAGAATTCATTTCAGATTTAAACACTATCTTAATTATACACCGAATACAATGGACAACCTATTGGAATCTCTAAATTGCATTCTCAGAAATAGTTTCATTTTTATCACATTTCTACTTATGACATATTGGGTATAATAATGCTCAGGGAATAGTCCTTTTTTTTTTAATGCAGTACCTTAATTATGCCTAAGTATTTTCCATTCAACAGCTAATTGTTGGTTTTTTTTCTGACTTACAAGTTTGAGGAGTTTAACTGTATGTCGTGCCTCATAATATTTTTCATGAGGTTCTGCCTATTAATCAGGAAATCTTCATGTTTTTAAATCACCTATAAACGTGTTACACAATGACGATATTACATGCAACTTCCTATTTTTTTTAAAAGTAGTGTGACTGTTGTTTGTACTTAGAAACTTTTCCGACAAAAGCCACGCAGCAAATTGGAAAAATTGCGAGACATATTCACATTGTGTTTTAAATGAAGTGTACAGTTAATAAAATATCAAATGTAGTTTTTAAAGAAAACATATGTGTACATGAACCTAAAAAGTTTAGTCTTATGTTTATATTTATTTGCCATAAACAGAGAAAATTGCCGGAAAGAAAAGTTATGTACGTGACAAAACCTATAGTTTTAGAGTTAGTATAGTCCTTACAAGGGTAATGTGAGTTAATGTAACAATATAAGTCCTAATTGTCAGAATATGACATGATGTATTTTATTAAAACATTGATTAATATTAATATGACATTTTAAAATATAAACAATAATCAAGTTTAGAAAACTGGTATTAGAAATTATAGACAACATATGACTTTGTAATCAAGCATGTATTTTAATATGTGGCATTTACTAAAGACTTTCATAACTTAAAGTGACTTAAAGGTAATTTTGTACATCTACTAAGTGACCATTTCAGGGACGACATGTGCAAGCAAAAGAACTACCACTTTGATGGCTGTTTATTTAATGTGCTAAGTTTACCAAACAGGTTCATTTACTTACTGGATATTGCTATATTTCTGTATATTATTCAGAGTAAATGATACATATCTATAAAAACACACATAACTTTAGATTTCTGTTTTCTTCTTTGCAAAGTTCCCCATGCAGCTTGTAAAAAGTAGATCCGGCCAAGTGGTCGTTTAGAATAGAGCCTGGTGTGCCTCAAGTTTGCACGTCTAAATATAGCATCTGTCCCGCAAGATCTTCAGGCCACCGGGGCTGCCTCCTAATGTCACTTTACAAAGAAAAGTCGAGTCATTTCTCTCCCTGTCTCTCTCTTTTCCTTGCACGTTAAGCAGGGGCTGGCTGAACACACTCACGCGCATGCACGCACCTACGGATACAATTTTTAGGTATTTTTTCCCCATTTAAATGATTTGCTATCGCAGTTACTCCATCTTTTATCTCTCAAATAGTTTCAACCCTGTTAATGCAGGCATGTACTTTTTTCTTATCAGCCCCTCGGCAGCATTTGTGATTCATAGCAGCCATCACCGTGATAATAAACTCATTCACAATACTAACAAACGCGGGGGCTCCCAGTTATTTACGTGGCAAATTCACTGCAAGGCTGGGCTGTGGAACAGGGGAGAATCAAGATGGTGTTGATTGATAAATTGACAGGTTAATTTACAAGTGGATAATAGGAGTTAGACCCGGAGGGAGACAGGGGAGCATCTGAAGTCTAGCTTGGTTACACTGCCATCTGTCTGAAGTCCCGAAATCTGCAGGACGGCGGGCTGACGGGAATCACAGACATGCACATTCTTCATAACTTAAAGACAAAGACCACCATTGACTCCTGTCTGATGGGTTTCCAGCCTGTGATCTTCCCACAGCGGACCCTCAGCATGTCAAAAAACAATGCCACGTCCCAGGGCGGCTCATCGGCCCTGCTTCCAATGTGATTTAGAATAAGTTATTTTGCCTGTTGCAAAACGAAACAAACCAAATTGTTTTCCAGATGATATTTCACAAATATTAATAGTCCTTTGGTTGCTGATGGCCGAAATGTATTCTTTCAAGTTTCAGAGGCCTTCGGTATGTCTTTGTTCTGGGGGTGTATGTCATCGCCACCCCTCAAAATATTATTTTTCTTTAAAAAAAATCCTTGGTATTAAATGTGGCCGGTCTAGCTGTTTAGAAGCTATGATGAAACGAATTCTGTGAATCTCAGATTAAATATTCCCATCATCCCTTTGCTTCTAAGTTTTATCATTGTACATTTTTAACATATTTGAAATTTAAAAAAATTAGTTGACAGAGCACTTGTAAAAAATAAAGTATTAGTCCATTTGTTTAGTTTTTCTCTCGCAAGGAAACATTTCATTTCACATGTCGGCCATTGATGTTATGAATTCTGGAGGAAAAGACTTTAACAGCCCAGGGTTTTATTTTTAATCTTATAGTTCTGGTGTCACGGACATATTTCGTCGTGAGCTATCAGGATGGTGCCTCTTTACTGGTCCAAGGCCACTGTCGTTAGGAACCAAAGACAGCAACTGGGTGACTATTGCCACTTTGGTCTTTTGAAATGAGCTGGTCGTAGACTGTTAGCCCCCATGGCCGGGTGTCCCAGACGGAGGGCATTCGGTCCCCACTTGCAGCACTATTATCTTGGGGCTCCAATTCTTGGGTCCCGATCAGAGCCCTTTCTGTTCATATTCTAAGTGAACGCCCTTCTCAGATTCAAAAGTTCACCGAATGCTTATACAGTGTCCAGCCTTGGGAATTTTCAACAAATACTGGTAGTTTCACACATTTTAAAAGGAAATTCAGAAAGACACAATAGAACATGTCGGCTCAGTTTCTGTGACTCCTTTAAAAATGCCAACGCTAATATTATTTTTAACCAGATTGCCTCGTTAATCAAGCTACTAAAATGAACTATTAAAACTATGCCTTGAGTGGAAGAATACATGAAAGCCCATGGAAACTATCTGATCGAGAATGAATGCCAGAAAAATAAAAACAAATAACTTTGCATGCATGGAATTTTATGGGTCACAAGGTTAAAAATCTCCCCTTAAAGGGTAAATATCCTTTGAAAAGAAAATGCATTTTTGTGTGAATAGGAAGTTGAATGGCTTTTACTGCTTTGTTTAAAAACGGACAATCATCTTTGCAAATTTTTTGACAAGTGGTATGTTTTTCAAAAAACTCTTAGGAGATGACAATATATTTATATTTAAGATTGCTAATTTTTTTAATGTGGTGGCTGTTTTTATGAGAAAAGGATCTTTTATTCAAAAAAGTGTTTAAGTAGTTTTTCAACTCTGTAATACATAGAGTAAACCTGAATTCTCTCTTCAGCCTGAAGTAAATGTTTCATTTTCTTAGGACGATTTCCATTTTGCATTTTATATTATCTTTCCATTTAGACACTTAGTGGCCAGGAAACTGTTATGTAAAACAGAAATATAATTGATAGGCAGTTTACAGAAGTGTGTGTTTTTATAACGTGTCTCTGCTGGGAATCAAAATTCAGTCTAAAATTAGTTTTCTCCTCACCCTCCATTGCAGTGGCAAAACTACCCAAGTCATAGAACCTAGTGTGGCATAATTTTACCGCTTAAAATACATGTTAACTTCTGAAAAATTTCCTTTCAGTTAATACTTTGTAAAACCCACGATCACGGTATGAGATCATCAGAGTCCTTAACATGTTGACATAGACAATAAAACCCCAAAACAAGCTTGGGCAGACACTTATCATTTTACATGTTTATAATTTGGGATTTTTTTTCCCCTCTGCAAAAACTAAGGAGAGTTTTTCTGCCTTTTTCTTCCTGTGGGTACTAACAGAAACTCTGAAGGGGGAGAAAAAAAAAAGGAACCTAAACAGCAAGCACAAAAAGATGCCGGGTTTAATATCCCACCCAATTTCTAAGTGAAGCCACTGACAGTCAGAGTAGGCTTCGAAGTGAGACTATTTAGACACATTGATTTTTCTTGTCACTTTCTTCTTATTTCATATGTCACATCAAGGCTTGGAAATTAGATGAATGTAAGAAGGGCCCACTGATCACTGTTCCTCAGGAGGAATTTTCAAAGCCAGCTAGCGGCGCTTAGAACACTCGGCCAGCACGGAGCTCCCCTCTGCCTACAGGGAAGTTTGGGGGAGCTCGGTATTCCCATTTCACTCATATCACTAAGGTTCCTGGTTGTCAAGAAGGCCCCCGATTTCACTGAAGTCTGGCGAGTCTCAAAAGTAATGCACTAAGGTGGGGCGGGGGAAGCAAGCTTAAATCATCTTTTCCCCTCTCACTTCAAAGTCCTTTGAAATGAACGCGAACCTCAGTTCTGGTAAACACATTCTGTGAAGGAAGTGATGCAGGTAACCGGTCTCTTCACTCACATGCTGCCAAGCAAACACATGGACGTTGCATCTTTGTGTTTTGAACAGTTTGTAATAATAAATGGAAATCAATGCTGGAGACTGAAAGGTGGATCCATTATGCTTCTTTAATCTCACAGACCCCTTCCATGTTGTGTCTATCTGTCCCTGGGATTTTTTTTTTCCACATCATAAAGTGTACTTTGCTCTAACTGGCAACCTAGATTCTGAGGGTTCCTGGAGCCTAAATTATATCTGACAGAAATTTAAAAAATGACTTTAGTTTAGGGGAGATACACAATATCATTGTGGTCCTTCGGTTTGAAAAGGGAGATGATGATTATTATTCGTTTGGGGTGTATCCTACTTAAACAGGGATTTCAGAACAGGTACGAAAAATTTCAAAATAAATTCAGAGCCCTGGCTGGTGTGGCTCAGTGGACCTGGGGACCAAAGGATAGCAGTTCGATTCCCAGTCAGGGCACATGCCTGGGTTGCAGGCCAGTTCAGCAGGGGACACACCAGAGGCAACCATACATTCATATTTCTCTCCTTCCCCTCTAAAGATAAATAAGTAAAATCTTTTTAAATGTTTAAAAAATAAAAATAAAAATAAATAAACTCAGAAAATTCCTATATAGCTGGTTGGTCCAGGAAAATATCAAGCATCTCACAAAGTGACCAAAATATAATAAGTAAAGTGGACAAATATCAAGAAGTTTAAAATTGAAAATATTTAGGAAAAATAGATGGCAATAAGCAATCCACTACAGAAATATGTTCCCTTTCTATGGTACTTTGTTCTGAAGCAGACGGATTGAGGGCCTGGACAGACCTTGCAAATTTTAAAAATATATATTTTTAATTTATTGACTTTAGAGAGGAAGGGGGAGAGAGAGATGAAACATAGATTGGTTGTTCCACTTATCTATGCATTCATTGGTTGAGTCTTATATGTGCCCTGACCGGGGATCGAACCCTCAGCCTTGTGGTATTGGGATGATGCTCTAACCAACTGAGCTACCCAACCAGGGCAGACCTTTCAGATTTAACCAGCAGGGTCTTAATTATGAAACATCGCATGGAGATTCTGGTAGGAGGAGAGGCTCGTGGAATGCCATCCTACAGTGGCTGGGAGATTTCCTTTTCAGGGCGTTTATAATTCCTCTCCCGCCTGTGGGTTGAACTAGAGTCTTTAGAAATTTTATTTGAGCCCATGCGGAGAAAGCACTTGCTAAGCTGTAATTTCCTATGATTTGAAATATGGCTTCTGTAGGCCACCCATGTAGGATCACGCAGAAAAAAACAAAACAAAACAAAACAAGGCCTATCTTTTCATCTTGGCTCCATACCCAGCCATTTTTTTAAACTCGAATGCCTCTTAATATATTTTCCTTGGAAAATGTGTCCGTGTTGCGGCATAGACAATTTCAGACAGCGGCGTATTGGAGCGTGGCAATTTGTTAATTGTTTATTAGTGTGCTATTTTTAGCCTAAGCGAAAGGCTTCACCTAGTCACAGTATTTCAAATGCTGAATTAAATTAATTAGTAGAGGAAAATGTTCATGTATTAATGTAAGTGAACATTGTCAAAAGTAGAATTGAGGTCAGAATGCTATATCAGAGAACAAAAAAAATTAAATAAAATTTTAAAAACCCAGGAAACTTAGAATATCCTACAGTAAAAAATCATATAAATGTCAAGTTTATGTGATTTGAAGTATCCTACTCTGCTCCATGATAAAGTCAGGGCAGAAAATGGTTCATGTTTCTTGAATTGGTATGTTTCTCGATCCAAGATAGGAATTCTCCAGCGTATCACATTTTTCTATTTGTTGTGGCTTCTAGGAGACTCAGGACTAAATTTTGTGCCCTTTTGCTATAGATACATTTTTCTCAGCCCCTGATAAATGATGATGTGTATTTCGAGGGATTTTAATGTTTACATGGATAGTATTTTTTTTCTACCTCCAGGTCTCTGGGGGAAGGAAGTGATGTGGTTGAAGAAATATTTGAATAAATGAACCTCAAAATATCCAGGAAAATATTCCAGGAAGTGAGTTGGGAAACCAATAATATTTTTAAGCCATTTTTTCTGAGGACAGCCCATGAACTTATAAAATATAAATGTCACCTTATGTTTTCTAATAGAAATAATAAAAATGAAAATACAGCACCATACTAGAGAGAACCCCCACAAACTTTAATATCTTTTCAGAACTCTATAGCTAATACATAGAAATAACTATTGATAAGTGTGCGTTGAACCTCCGTTCTGGCAAATTTGGGATCAAAGTGTGGTATTCTTTTATAGCCCATTTTCCCCCATATAATAATCTATTTTGACTATTCTCCACATCATTATTTATTCTCATAAAAGAATTCACATCTCTACTGCTCTCCTGTAAGTAAGAATTCACATCATGCCTCTGTATGTTATATACATAGAATGCTACGTGTCGACTATGAAAATATGTTGACTATGGAACCTGCTTTCTTATGACAAAATCGTACCAACGATTTCAAACTTGGTGGACAACACTGCCCATCTGAAGTCACTGTCATGCCTTGGGCTGTTGGTGGCATCTGACATGAGAGTTGTGCATTCTTCTCAGCTCTCCTGCTCGTCCCAAAGACACCAAATCTCAGAGATGAGAAACCATTTAGGTGGGCTGTAATCTCACCTCACACCCCTCTGCCCGCTGCTGCCAGTTCTGAAGGCCCCCACTTCATGGTCCTCATGTCTCAGTCTTCAGAGAATACGAGCCACAGGCAAAGCAGCAGGGACTTGCCTACTCTCTCCTTCCACTCAAGACATACGCACATCTCAGCAGCCCACTCTGATGTC